TATATATATATATATATATATATATATATATATATAGTAGGGATGTGCATCTCATGACTGATGATACGATACGCATCTCGATGCATAGCCAACAATACGATACATTAAAGATACATATGAAGCAGCTACCGATGCAATGCGATGCGATCCGATTCGCCTCTGTTACGATGCAGTGCGATCCGATTTCAATTCGATTCGATTCAACACAATGCGATTCAATGCAATACGATGCAATGGAGAAAATATGATCACATTTAATGCCTCGAGGCCTGTTTCATAAAACAAGTTTACCAAATAAGCCAGGATTATTTCAGTTAGTCGGACATCTTGTCAAATAATCTGGTTCCATAAAAGCAAATGTAACATGGGCTTAGATCAAGCTTAGTCACTGGCAACTTATGCTGGGAAACTGGGCTGGTCTAAAGCAGGCTACCTGTCAGGCTAAGCTCCTCTACTGACCAATAGGAACACAATGATATTACCACTCTCTCACATACTATTATTTTACTTTATTTATTTATTTTTTTTTACCGTTTCTAGCCACGCAGCCGTTCTCTCTGGTTTTATGACAGCTGTACCTTTTCTAGTTTGCAGAACATTAGAACATTATTGCTCTTTAAAACATTAAAATAACTAAATTAAAAGTTAAAATCACTGAATTAAAAAGCTTATAGTAATTAGTACTGTAGCCTATAGCTTACATTTGATTTACCCATTACAATAGTCCCTTTACAGTTACTGCTATCATAAAAATACACTTTATATGTAGGTTTCAAATTCTACAAAAGACACATTTAATGTCCAACAACAAATATTTTAGCAACATGTATATTTTACTATATATGTATATAAACCTCGCCTACTCCTGACAGCAATATAGATATGTTTGCATGACTTTCTGACATTTACAGATGAATAATATACCTGTGACATGTCAGTTATGCACTGAGGAAAACACAACATCTCAAATGCATTAAACAGCACACAGATATATTCACTGTTTGTCAAGGTGGATCGATTTGATCCATGATCCACATTAAGGTCTGCTTAAGAGTAAGCGTGCACAAA